ACCTCTCAGTTCTCAACAGAAGCGACCGGCGCAGAACATAAAATCTCCTCCACGAGGCATCTATTAACTTAAAAACAACTCGGTCCTGAACCGTGCAACCGCACATGACCAACATAACTTAGACAAACTTGCACATTAACACACGCACTGCTGCAGACAGCATTAAAAACTCCTGAGGTCTATCTCCTCAAGACTTGGGCAAAATGTGTCCCAGTCGCGGTGGGAAGAACCGCTCATATTCCTCGCGAGTGGGCTGAGGGGTCGGCGGGAGCCCCAGCAGACTTTCCATTCGATGACGAAGTGGACTGAGAATGCCTCTGCCGTAGTCCGTCAGTTGATCTAGCGGGGGAGTATCGGCCTGACGATGGTCCTGGGTTGAACAATCCCGAGCCCATATTTCCCACTGAGTGAGACCGCTGTTGTGCTGGTTGAGCGCCGTGCCCTGCGGTAGGTCCGGTTCGAGACCCCTCAGACCCTAAATGAGCCTGTGTATCTGGTTGTGTAGGATCACGAGCGTCATCTTCATAGAACCATTGCGCAGCTGACATGGTGGAATTGAACGAGTCATGTGCCATCTCCGCAACGTCAGCGCGCAGTGGAGTACCCGGGCCAATAAGTGATGTTGGCTGATCCGTTCGCGGGGTGGCTGGAGCTGCTTGAGGGTAGGTGGACAACCTGTCTCTTCCGGAATCATGAGGTGTACTGACAACAGGAGCACCCTCGTCTTCACTAGTGGATGCCTGCTGATGAGATGTCAACTTCCGCGCCACCATTTCAGACGAGAGTTGGTTCCCTGCCTGATCAACTAGTCGGCCATCTACGAAAGTGTATTTAGGCTGTCTAAGCGGGCTCGGGGACGGGATAGACTGGCTCGGAATGGATGGCAGTCCAGGCGGAGGGCCCCGCGCTGCTGATTCTGACATTGGCGACTGATGATGTGACGGTACTGTTGCAGACTTGGCTGGTGACACCACAGCGATCGTTGGTTGCGACACAACAGGCGCTGGTGGCCCGAACACCTCGTCTTCCTGTTCAGGTAAAGTGTCAAGCCCCGACTGGGCCAGGTCAGTGTTGGTCACCCCCGCATATTCTAATCTTTCTCTCTCCTCCAAACCTGCTTTGAGTCGATCCAGTTGTGCCATTAGTTGTGCCTGTCCGGGTGTCAACGTACGAGTGGGCTGAGGTGCAGGATCTTGACTCGCCATGTGGTAGTCATTACCAGAGTCTCCATCCGACTGAGTGCCGCTTCTGTCACAATCACTATGGTCCCGTCTCCGGTCATCGCCCGATCTGTCATCACCCTGACGTCTGTGCCGGTGGCGACCCCTACCAGCGCCGTTGTCACCCCCATCATCATCATCATCATCGTCATCTGATGAATCCGCGGCATTGCCGTACCGGGGATGTCCTGGACGCCGACGGCGATGTGGTCGTGGAGGAGGGGCATCTGGGTGACCGTCCATGTTGCCTGAACTTCCTGAATGGCCGCCTCCTGAGCTTCCTGAATGGCCGCCTCCTAAGCTTTCCCAATTTTCGCAGCCTCATGATCCAGGCCCTCCGCAGCTCCACGCTCCAGGCCCTCCGCAGCTCCACGCTCCAGGCCCTCCGCAGCTCCACGCTCCAGGCCCTCCGCAGCTCCCTCCTCCGGGTCTTCCGCAACTCCACGCTCCAGGCCCGCCTCAGCTCCACGCCACAGGTACGCTCCAGCTGCATGGTCCTGGCCCTCCATCCCTCCCCCTGTTCCGCCTCCGCTCCACCTCCCGCCTGAACTGTATTTGGAGCGTCTGGAAGCCGCTCTTTAGAGGGGGGGCTATGTTACGATAACCAGCGATCATTCTCTGGAGATCGCTGGTTTCCTCTATCATCATTCACTTCACTTCCGCATTCCCCAGGACTACATTTTCATACATGCACTTCTCCCAATCACGCACGCCTGGTCATTCATCTTCCTGATTACATCACCAGCTGAAACCTGTCACAGACTGAGATTTCTCACAGTATTTAAGCAGCACACACACTCATTCACTTTGCAGAGTCTTGTTTACTGTTTAGTGACATTTCAACTCGTTTCTCCCTGTCTTGTTTCTCCGTGTCTGAACCTAGCTTTGTATCCTAGTTATCTGTTTTAGCCGCCTGCCTTTTGACCCATTGCCTGTTTACTGACTTCGACTCTGGATTTGCCCGCACATACCGGTTCATACCTGTATTGACCATTGCTTGCCTGACAAAGATTAAACCTGCATATTGGATCCTACCTTCTGTTGTTGGTGTCACTCTCCGGCGTTACACAGTGGTTATAATTGGTGGGTGTGACAAAATTTTCTTTTGATGCCCCTAAATTTTTTAAAGTTAGGAACACCGGTGCTACCAAGCAAAAAGGTTAATTTCAAGCCCTGTATGCATATATATATATATATATATATATATATATATATATATATATATATATATATATAGTTCACAAAACTTACCGCAAATTTCAGGAAATTACCACCACAAAATCTGTCATTTTTATCACAAAAAAATTCCTAAAAAACTAGGGGGTCTGAGTGATATTATATTTTTAACAACTCATACATTATTGGTTCATGATGACTCAAATGTGTCAAAACTTTGCCGTTTACGTTTAGCAGAGCAACTGACTTTTTTTTTTTGAACAGAAGTGTGTTCCTCCTCAACTTCTGTGAACACTTTAACAGTTAACAACAATAAACAGGTGACATGTTCAAAACGGTGTACTGACATTTAATTTTTAACAACGCATACATTATTGGTTCATGACGACTCACCTCTGTCAGAACTTTGGCGTTTGTGTTGAGAAGAGTGACTGACGGATTTTCTTGAAGCAGAAGTGTGTTCCTCCTCATCTAAATATAAAAATAAACAGTTTGTTTACATGCTTTTGTTTTCATCATTGATCGTGTTTAAGTACACGAGAACTTGAGGCCATCTTTAATCACAAAATATGTATACCTAAAATGGACGATTTTGAAAAGTTAGTGTTGGCACCTTTCATGAATTGAACTAGCAAACTTTCAGTTCATAGCTTGTGATAAGATCACAATAATACTCACCCATATCTGTAGTTTGACTTAGTTCTTCGTCACTGTCACACACACACACACAAAGTTTTGCCTCAAGAGAAATACATACAAACAGATCAAGCTCATTAAACATTATATTACACAGCTCTCTGGCACTTTGTTTCAAGGTGTGTATGACTACTTTAAACTGATTTACACTAATTTGGGTACTGTGAGTCATCTTGACTAGTGCAGCTTTATGCTTATTTATTCATTTCACATTTATTTTTGAACAAATTAAATGTTTCTAATTTTTTAAATGCTGTGTTTCATTTAAAGACAGTAAGAAAGCCAACAAGAAAGGGTTGCTTAGAAATAAGCCAAGACAGAAAATATTAAAAACAGTATTACTATTACTTTAAGTTACTGTAGTAAAAAACAAACTAAATCCACTGTACTTTCCATCAGTGCTACACTGGATTTCCTCCAAAGATCTTACTTTGTATACTTCAGACCCCTTCTCTAGAGACAACAGCAACTTGCTTACTTTTGCTAGTTGTATGGTGTTTTCAGACAATCGGTAATATTCGTGGTGAACGCGTATGTCATGACCCATAAATTTAGCTAACTGGTCAAGCTCATTATCTTTTAAGTTCATAATCTGACACACAGTTGCCACTTGTTTTCTCAGTTGGGTTGAAGTCAGGCTTTTTGGGTCTTTGGCACCACACACTGCTGCATATTTTCGTAGAAAGTCTGACCCACAAATATGGGCTGAACGCTCAACTTTCGCAAAAACATAGGGATTGTCTTTTGTGACCCCAACTTTCTCTCTGCTTACATTTAAAAGATCAATTGAGTCAGTACTGGTCTTTTTTTCCCTCTTTTTCCTCGAATTTCCAATATAGTCAATTTAGTCCACAGTTGCTGCTCTAACTTAGTCAGAGATTTAACAACATCCTGGTTGGGAGGCTTCACATTCCTTTTTCTTAAACTGTAAGGAGTAGTGTAGAAGCCTCTCCTTCACGTCTCCTATTGAACAAAATAATCTGACAAAGTATTGTTTCTGCTAAATCTTTCCAGTCAGCAGCGTTTGCGTTTTTCTTTTGACTCCTCCTACTTTTTCAAGTGTTCTGTAATGCCATGACATCTGCAGTAAGCGGTATGGCATCACCCTTATTCCATCTGGCTTGCTGAAGGGTGTTGAGAGCCTTGCTTGAAATTTGGTTCTCCAGTGACTGTCAATAAGTTTGATGAAGTTTTTTTATATTCCTTTCTGTCTCAGTGTCTCCTGACATAAGACTCTGGCCAAGGCTTATCTGACATGTCTTCTTTAATGAGTAACCAATTTTGAGAGCTAAAGGAGTTTTAAAAAGATTTGATTCAGCATTGTAGCTGTTTACCTCCTTGCATACTGTGATCGCCAGAACAAAGTTTTAAGGAACACACAGCTTCTCTAGTGTTTCCACTGACTTGGATAGCTCCTTCACCTTAACCATAAACCTTGCAAGTTCTCGCATTTTTTGTGCAATGTATGGGTGCTGAGCTCGATCGTGGCCGCACTTTGTATAAATTGATTCGCCAAACAACATGATCAAGCGATCCTCGGTTATTGCTTTGGTGATACTGTCCTCACGCATACTCATCAAAAGTGTTCTAATACCAGCAGGGGTGTCTGACCCCATAGGTAGAAGACAAGCTGCAGTGGAACGCAATCTCTCTCCTTTTTTTCGTTTAACAACCGTCTCTGCTCCGCATGCCTTTGAGGGTTTCCTTAAATCTTTCTTCATGAAAAACCCGACACTGAGGGCAAGGAAGAAAATCTGAAATGTCTGCAGCCACGGTTGGCTGACGCCAAGTTACAATTTCTCCATCCTTCTTCTCCAAAACCTCAACGTTGTGAAAATAGTTTCCTTTATTCCGAATTCCCTCTAGAAGATCTTTTCGCTTTTTAGAGTGTTTTTGTTTTTTTTTTTTTTGCTTGTATGTAAAGAATCCTTATCTGAAGGAATCAATGTGTCAATAGTGTTTAATTGCACCTGTGTGGATAGTTTACAGTTTAACCCAAAGAATGACCAGTCTGGTAGATGAAGAAGAGCCGGAGTCAGAGATTTAAATAAATAAATCAAGTTTACTGAAGATAGTTTGCAGTTACATCAGCAGAAGCCAGCTTCAACACTCACAATGAGTTCCTAGGCCGCTCTGCTTACAATCACCAATCAATAACAATTATACTCTCACATAACGTCATTAACTGCGTCATACATATAGGTGTTCTAATCTGATTGGTTAAAACACAGATAGACTAGGAACATTTCCACGTGGGGTTTGTGCGTGTATTCTGAACAATATCTTAAGCATAAACATCAGACATCCCTTAGACTGATTAGAGCTGACTCCAGACCTGTGAAACGGATCAACAATCAAATAGAACACACACACACAAAGTATAATCTGTTACTTATTCAAGGCTGAGTGTACTCTCAGCCGTCTTTATCAAAACTGGTTAAATTTGGTATAATCTACATTCAGGCAGTTATATTCTTACTACACAAAGTCTATCTTGAATAAAAGTAGAATCACTTTAAAAGATTTAACCGTAAAAATAGCAAAATCACTTTAGACATTTTAGACAGTATTAACTCCTAGAAATAACAATAGAAACAGTTGTTTCCAGTCCTCAGCCCTCCGTGACCTCTGACCTAGATTGGTGGCTTCTGAAAACAGTTATAAAGAGACAGGCAAATGCACTGAACATTCTTATATTAAGCAATGTGTTAACTTATTCATTAATTAAAATCAATTCACAGTTAAATACTGAGAAACAGGATGATGAAAAGGATAAACGGTGGTCCATGATGAGACTGATTGGAAAGCAGAAATCCGAATCCTTCACACCCCTGACTCCCTTTCTGAATCAAGCTCATCACCAGTGCTCTCTTTGTCTGATGGAACATATTCACTACGTTTCTGATTCACTTCAGTCCTGTTTACTGATTTCGTTCTCTGTTTCTAAGTCACTCTTCTCAGCAGACCCGTTCTCTGTTTCTAAGTCACTCTTCTCAGCAGATCCGTTCTGTTTGTAAGTCACTCTTCTCAGCAGACCCGTTTTTTGTTTGCAGCTCACCTTTGTCATTTGATTGTTCCTGTTAAGAAAATATAAATATTTAACTTTGACATTTTAACAGGTTTAAATAGGAGAATCTAAGCATAGTTAAAAAATGTATATCATTCTTATCCCACAGTCTATTTATCACCATTTCTTTTTGTGTTCATTTCTTTATTTTTGTCAGTGAAAACATGTCATTGACAAATAATTTTGTCATTATGTCATTTGTCATGTTTTCACCGACAAATAGGATGACAACTAAATAAAAAAGTCCTAATCTTCCCGATATTGTAAAGTGGTAACCGGCATGTCTAAGAAATATTTGCTAAATGCTTAAAGGAGGAGGACTGGTTGTCAAATACTACGACTGGATTCTGGCTTTATTAGATGAGGTGATGGTTGTAGTGGCAAATTCTAGTGTAAAATTATAATTTCAGCTATGTTTGACGATCACTGATGTCCTACATGATCAATATGTGCAGCACCTCACACACTTAAACACGGCTATTGTCTACAACACAGTGCAACATTTTACCCAGCCCCACCTGTGCTAACACCTGCATTTAACATCAAAATCTTCATGTAAAAAACATTTTAATATAAAAGAAAAAATGTTTGTAGTATGACAGTATCATGTCTTCAAATGTGTTTGTCTTTAATACATATTAAACATTGCTTATTACAGATCCCCTACAAAGTTAATAAATCCCCATTTATAAAATTATATGTTTTAGTTCAGGCCCTGTACACTACAAACAGTTTTTTGTGTGAACTTTTACTGCTGATTTGAGTACTCAAGATATTCTAATAGAAAGAATAAACAGAAGGCATGTATATTGATGTCCTAAAAAGTTTTACAAGTTAAACAAGTAAAACACATGGGTATTTGTATAAAATTTTACTTAAAATCTAATTCTGAGATGAGCATTAAATGTTGATTTCACCTATTATTTTTTATAATGGTTAAAATTTTTATATGTCTAGATTTAATAAATCAAGGTCATATTTTCACACTATGTTATTACATTAAATTTAACAACTTAATGTAGAATATAGGAAAAAAATAGAGGTATAAACAACATATAAATATATGTAGTATACTGTAGCATAACAAGAGGTCAATAAATCTATAATAAGGCATACATAAAGAATAAGATGAGTAATACATGTACACGACTACATAAACACATTAATATCATAGTATGTCAGAAAGAGCAGAGGAACTATCAGCAAAAGCATATGAACCCTACACCCTGTGGCACAACCTCCCATCCCCCACTTAATCAAGTTTAAACATTAACTTACATGCAACTCACACGACTCTCATTTATTCATTCATTCATTTTGTTGTCAGCTTAGTTCCTTTATTTATCCGGGGTCGCCACAGCGGAATGAACCGCCAACTTATCCAGCAAGTTTTTACGCAGCGGATGCCCTTCCAGCCACAACCCATTTCTGGGAAACATCCACACACACACTCATAGACTACAGACAATTTAGCCTACCCAATTTACCTGTACCACATATCTTTGGACTGTTGGGGAAACCGGAGCACACCCACGCGAAGGCATGCAAACTCTACACAGAAACGCCAACTGAGCAGTGGCGGAGCTAGAATTTTTTACAGGGGGTGGCCACTGCTATTTTAGGGGGTCCACACACACAAAAGTGTTTAGAAAACTAAAATCCTTTTCATTAGCAACATATAATTCAAAATATGAAAACATAATTATTTACTCATCATATACTCACTTAAAAGGTGTTTTGTCACAATTTGGTCCTCAGTAATATAGTATAACACACACAGTTTATATTTTCACTTTTTTTTCTCTTCAATATGGCATCTTGTCAAAAGTCAAATTTTGACCAGTTATATCAGGAAGCTGCCATTCTTACAAGGGAGTTTGAATGTAAAGCAGCAAATTCTGCACTTGTAGCTGCGACCAGGGAGGCTGAACAAGTTCTGCAAACGTTTAACCTTCCACCAGTATTTTTTTTTCAAGCAATTTTTTTTTATACTATTTTAATAGCTTTATTGAATCTTAGTTTGTTAGTTGTTAATAGATATCAAAGTTCTTGCTTAACATCCTATATATGTCTTTTTAGTTAAATACACAGAAGACCAAACGTGCCTGCAGCACCCTTCCCAAACCAGTTTCATTTGTGGAGAGAGATCAGTTTGGTCATCTTGTGCCTAAACAGAGAAGGCAGATATCTTCAAAGGCAAACATTTGCGATGGCTTGGCTATAATAAGTTTCAGCATATTGTGTATTATTGTAGTGGACACACACATATTTCTTATAATGTGTAGCACCATCATACATTTTCTGTAATGTATAATTTTATAAATCTCAATTTTTTTAGCTACTGTGATCAATAGTGCAGGTATGTCCTTATCTTTGGAATCTGGGCAAAGAGACATTTATCATAGTGAGTAATGACACCAACAATTTTCAAAGTAACTAGCCGTGCATGGTTATTATTACTATTGTGTCATTTGCTTCATTGTTCTTGTTTGAAGGTCCATCACTGTCTGCTCACACTGTTTGGGCAGCAGCGGAAAACATTGGTAAGTATTTCCCTGTAATGGTCAGTCTAACCAACTGCCATGAACACTAAAGTTACATGTATTGTTTCCTAATACAGAAACTCTTCATCAAGAAATCGAGGACCTGCTAGGTGACACTGATGACATTAAGTGTTCAATTCCGACTTCCTCAAACATATGGGCAATTCGCGTTGAGCAGTCTAAAAAGAAGTGGGCAGCTTTAAGGCCTGAGATGCTGGATCCTTTATTATCTGCTGAATATACCGAGATTAGGCAGTGCCAGCACTGCCTACTGAAGCAATCTGTTATATGATGTAAAGACTGCATTCCCAAGCAGCTATTATGTCCAGACTGTGATATTTTGCTCCACAAAAGAAAACTTCACAACCGTGAAACTGATGTGGAAGGATTTTTAAGGCCCATATCCCCAACTACTTTGATCAAGGTGGATAGCAGAGGACAAATTCTATTTGAAGAAAAAGGCATGTACTTTTTTTTCTTTTTGTTCATAATCTTGAAACTTATCGTATGAATTTCTGTTATAATAATGATACAGCAATGCTAATTACAGTAAAGTTTGAAATTTGCTTCCAGATAGCATTTTGCCCCTTGAGACACCTGATGAAATTTGCAACTGTGCCACTGATTCCATTGTGGTGTCAGAGGGTAAAAAGGGAATTCTCATAGGAATTGATGGTAAGCTGAGAGCATTTAAAAACATTGTTTAATATTTCTATTATAAATGTATTATATATACTTTATTTCAATAGGTCGTTACAATGTCAGCTTGCCAGAATTCTCATGCTTAAAATGTAACGTGAGCAGAACCACCAACATTCCACTGTTGATCTGCGTTGGATGCTGGCCTGTCAAAGCAAGTTGCGAAACAATTTACAAAATAAATGTCTTTGTGTCCTATGACCACATGAAGCTGACTGCTCCTGGAATGTCCAAGCAGCCATTTACCAGTTTACTGGAACAGCAGACAGAGTTCTTTGGCCGAGTATCTATTAAAACATTTTCAGAATAATTTCTTTCTTAGTTTTGGCAGTGCAATATTTGCTTATGGGGTTTTTTTTTTTTTTTTTTGTTTTTTTTTAGGATGGAAAGATCTGTGCTGTTGCATTTTTAAAAAAGCTTTTTTGAGTGGAGATACTGTTAGTTTGAAATTGATCAGCTCTGTGGACTTACAGTGTTCGACTGTCCAGCCTGTTCTCCATTTATGCTACAGTTAACCCTTACTGTAGATCAGGGGTCTCAAACTCGCGGCCCGCGGGCCATTTGCGGCCCTCAGTGCAATATTTTGTGGCCCGCGCCGACCACTGTACACTGATAGAATCAGCGGAGCGGGGAGAGAGAGCGCTCCCCGCTCCGCTGATTCTATCCGTACACAGCGGTCACTGGCATTCCCCGCCCGCCGTGTAAACAAAGGGGCGAGGATGCCGGTGATGTCACCACGCACCCCGCCCCTTTGTTAGACGCTGTGACGGGCGGAAAGTGTTATGAGGGAACTCGCGCCGGCTAGAACCAAGGTAAGCTGTTCCCGCCCCTGCCTGCCACTTAGCTACCTATCTACACACGCGGCACACCTTCGGTCCCGCCCTTCAGTAGGCACGCGACAACACAGCTGATCAGTATGCACGCGATAACACCGCTCTTTAGTACGCGCGCATCCACTCTGCAGATCTGCACCAATCTCCTCCACCCCTGCTGTAGATTATGCAGTAAATAACTGTAAAATAGCAAGTGTTTTGCTGTAATGAAAAGTAACAGTATTTTACAGTAAAAGGAGGATTTGTATGAAATTGTGTAGAGCAAAGAATAAATTACAGTAATTTACTTTATGTACCTTTACAGAAAGTTGCTGTGATAATAAATGATAAATTACTGTTCAACCGTTAAAAAGCATATTGTAGGTTAAAAAACTGTTTAAAAAAAAAAAGTAGAATTGTTTGTGAAAATACTCTATAATACCATAAAATAGCATATTAAAATGTTTTACGAAGTGTAAGGGCACAAATTTTAAAGAAAATGTGTTTTCCCACTTCCGCTTTTTTTTCTAACCACCCCGGTGACGTCAGTGCAGGGACTTATCTGACAGACGCGCGCTGTTTACAGTGGGGCAGAGGAGCTAATAGCAGAACTGGTTGTTAGTTTTGGCGTAATTTATCATCATCGTGGTATATTATTGCGTTTATGGAAACTGCACAAACTCCAGCCTGTCAACAGATCAAGTCCACAAGTTTCCTCTTGCTATTTTGGTTTGTGAAATGGGATGAATCCGATAAGAGTGATAGCTGACGCGAACGGCGAGAAACACTCCTGGATCAGTCGGAGATGCAGCTCCGTGAGCTGTACACGGTAAGACAACTCGTTTTTCGTTTATGTTTGTCAACTTTCAAGTCCGTAAGCATTATTCTTTGAGTAATTTGAAGCAACGTGATGTGTTTACTTTGGAGTAGCCGATAGCACGGCTGCTAGCTTGTATTGTTAAGCATATTAAATATACTTTTTTAAAGCGTGTAAAAATGTACACATATATAAGACGGCTAGTAGCATCAGTTTGCTAATATAATAAATGTCTTGTATAGTTACAGCGTTGTGACTTTGTTTGGTTTTTTGGTGTGTTTATTAGACTTTGGGAGACAGATTATGACCCGGAGCTGAAGGCTTTCTCTCCACTGGCCTCTCGGTCAACTGTGCTTCACTTTGGCTCACAGAGTAACCTCAACTAAGGTGAAGTAGATTTTATATTCGCACATTCGATTAGTGACAGCTTGTGTGACACACTCTCAGTATTGTTTACCATAGTACTTTTAGTATAATGACTGAAATCACACGTAAATATGACTTAAAAACTACATTAGCACTATTAAACTGACAATGAACAATGTTGTACTTTGATAGTCATTGGCTGCTAACATGATATTAGGGATTAGCAAATAATACTCTTCTGAAATTATATTATCAGGGAGAAAGTCAGAATGTGTGAATATAAAACCAATTTTACCTCAGACATTCACCTCGTTCATCGGGTAAAATATTATGACCCCTTTCGTGAATTATTTGTGCATGGTATTATTTGATAACAAAAACTAGAAGGGCAAAAAATTACTACAATATTTCTATATAATGCAGGCAGGTAAACTCACACTATCTTTGACTTCCTTTTTTTTTTTAAATAGTGGAAACGTGTAACCATTGACTTCCATATCTGTTTTTCCCACTATAGAAGTCAATGGTTACAGATTTTTAGCTTTCTTCAAAATATCTTGGTTTGTGATCAACAGAAGAAAGTCAATAAGGTTTGAAACAAGTGTGCCGCAAGCCTGCGTTTGAGTGAAGGTCTCGGCTGTTAGATCGCCCCCTGGGGGCTGGCTGCAGTACAAGGCATAAAGCCCGCCTCCTCTGTGTTAATGACGGAGACTTGAGCCCAAATAAAAAAATTTATTACACTTGCAATAAAATGTCCCAAAAGATGGTTCTGGTCGAT